GACAGGTTACTAAATTTAGCCCTTTGTATCACGACTCTGTATCGAGATATATAAATACATATCGCTTAACATTGTATTGAACAGCCGTTATCGGTCCTTATGGATTATAGGTTATGTGTTGAATGTATTTCGGATTTAATGTTTGACGTAATGTGCTATAAATAACTACAGCTTGATCCATTGTGCACGATCCGTTTTTAATTAAATGAAATTGGTTTGTTTGCCCTTAACCCTGAAAAGCTGCAGGCCCTAATGACCCAGAACCATGAAAAGTTGTGGATCGTGATCGGATCGTGTAGGCACTGTTTTAATATGGACATGCTACACTTAGTTGTTGAGGATAAAAATGCTGTCGGCTGTGGGTGTGAATTGTTTTCAGTCGGTTTCGGGCATAAGGACCGACGTTAATTTCGAACGCTGGTTCAGCACCGTTTGAAAAGTGTTTAGCCGTTTGAACGGAATGCGATTAATGTCCTAAGTCTTATGCGGAAACCACGTTGTTGAAGCCTGAGTATTGAGGGTCACAGTCGGCCCAGGATCAGCGGATCCTGATACGGCAACCTGGTACCACAACACACACCCGTCACTAAACAATCATGTCCTCTCTTAATAATCTTAATAATATTAATATTTCTTAATAATCTGTTAATCATGTCCTCCATTAATAACTAACCAGGATGACCACAATTCAATAACAGCAAATCATGGCCACATCTCTTGTCTAGCATGCCGAAAACTGCACAAAACCAGCCCAGACTTTCCTGGCCAAACACTAATACATTCCAATACTAGCCAACCATGTCCAACGCACAATTCCAGTCATACGTGACAACCGTCAAATCTACACACACAAAAATAACGACCGACACCAATACAATTACAGTTCCACAGTAAACACTACGATGCTATGGATACATCTCCCTCTACACGCAGCCCAGACAGCGAATGGAATTTCGCCTAGAACACTACTGATCACTTCACGAGACTTCAGACAGGATCTTCTCTTGAGGGAGTCAAGACTCTGGATGTCATGTTTTGTCTAATATCAATTACCAACCAACCAAAGAAATAAGAAAGGAATAGCACAGCAAATGTATTTGCAGATTAGACCTTGTTTCGTCCATTTAGCTCTAAGCTACAAATTTCCTTGAAGCAGGATTTATATCCTGCCCTTCCTTTAATCTAATTCAGCTACAAAGTACAAAAAAAGGAACAAAAGTGTTTTATGCTTGACTGCTTGATGCACGTTACAAGAAATCATATGCACATAAAAGTGGGAAAAGATATTTGAGAAACAATATAATTTCAAAATGTAGAAAGATATTTATTTGATTGTACATTGATGTACAAACAGTAATAATGTAATATTGTTGCACTACAGGATTCTTTATGGAATAATACCAACAAATGTATTTTTGTACAAAACTGGACATATAAAGATACGTTTCTGCACATTAAATGAAACACCGAGAACAAGTAGGCTTGGTCTAAGTCATCACGCTCATCACGTTCCGCACGTGCATTTGTTTCACTGTTCCAACTACTGCGCTTACCCCCTTGTAATACAAACCAGTAATAGCGATTTGAAACTATGATCGTTTGTTCAACAACTTTTATCCTAAGTTGAATAAAGTTCTGAGTTTTAAATGTTCAAATGGCAAGGTACAATTATGAGGATTCGCAATCTTAATTTCACTTTATCTGATTTACATTTGTGTTGAAAGTGAAATTCATCGGTACGTTTTCACTGCAAACAGACTATATGTGATAGTGGAAGAGAACCTGAAACTGTCATGGGTTTATTTTGTGAATGTAGCCATGTGCAAGAGTTTTGGTTTTACCAGCTGGCTGAAAACTGTTGCTAAAGGAGAAATAACACTTACATAAACATAGAAAACATACTATTTTGGTTTCAAGGAAACCATAATAACCTATTATATGCTGTCTCTTTGACAGTAAACAACTTATTGTAAACAAATGTATGAAATGTAAAAGCATGCATTTTAAGCATGTATACATCTGTGCACAAAATAAGGACCACCCTGTATTTTTACCAATTAATTTTGATTGAAATGAAATTCTAAACTCTTTCCAAAAAATAACCTTTATAATTTGATAGAGCAAGCATTTAACATTTCAAAAACGAAAACATCATTGAAATTACCATGTACTTTAAATAGGATAAATGCCTATTTTTAGAACAGGTATTTTTTCTGTCCTAAAACAAGTGACCTAATTTTGAAAAGTGAAAGTAATAATTGATTGTTGTGTGGCCTATAAATTCGTTATTTATTGTGAATGGATGAAAGTTTGTAAACTAAGATTTAGGAAAAGTTAGTCAACCTAAAACAAGAACAAATTTAAAATGCAGTAAAACTTGCTTTTGAAACAAAACAAAACAGATTTTAGCTGTAATTATCAGTATCCGACAAGGAGAAGTGTTTACTCATTACAATAAACTCACAATCCTAAAAAAATATATTCCAAAATCTTATTAATGTGGCCTTTTTCAGTTTTTTTCAATTAGCAATCTGAATTGTTGGAAAAAGGTCTGAATCTTTGATATTCGGGTTTTTCCTCATTATACACAATTAAAGCTTCCTTGATGTGTAATGTTAGTATATAACACAAAAATTATTTTAGCCAAAGCGTAATTTAATTGTGTAGTTTGATGTAGTTTTTAGCCTTACAAGCCCCATGTGGCATGCGTGACATTTCGTCATCCGAGATATCCGGATAAATCAATATCCGGATATCTCGATATCTGTCATACAGTCTTTGGTGTTGAAACGGTAGCGAGCATACACTTCTGGTTTAAAATCACTTCCGAAACAGTGTTGTTATTTTGATGTACCAATTACAAAATGTACATATAAATAGTTTCATTAATTTTATTAAAAAAGGACAATTTTAGGCTTGTTGGCTTGGATGTGTCTGTCAATGTATACGGGCTTACAAGATAGAAATGTGTAATTGCCATTTTCCATTTAGCCCTCTACATATATACCACGAAAACTAACACATCAAAACCCTTCCAATGCTTAGAACGTAATGTTTAATCCATCTCAATGCATAGTGTAATGAAGTATACTTGTGTCCTGAACTGTTAGAGTCGTGCCACGAGGACACCTGAAACAACGTCCTAACGCCCATGTACTATCCACTTTGGGCTCTTCTCACTTCAGGTCAATATGAGACACGGAAATACGATCTTACAACATCTAATGGTATTGAGAGTACACGTTCGTGTGATCTAAGCGAATGAAAGCTATCTTTTTCGATGTAGGATAAATCTAGCAACTGAGGTTTACGTCCCTCTAAACATTATCACTCCCCTTTAAATCAATAAAGGGGTGTATTGCCATGCGGGTCTTTATGAAAGGAAAGGCCAATTATCCTGAAATCACCATTCATATGACACAATGACGAAGAAATCCATACTTGCAAATAATACACAGCCAGGGGTCTTAAATATCATATTTCAATGTTCATATGCACAGGATATCAGTGTCGCATTAATATTCAATACAGGCCAGACTGTAACAGCTTTGTTCGAAGATAGCATAGGTGTGTTGTATTCATCAATGTAGCCGGCTTAATATCTATGGAACTGTGCCGTTGAAATGTTTGTCTGTGAGAACACTGTGGTTGAGATTGCAAATCACTGTAGACATTTGAGCACCTTAGACGCGTCAGGGTACTGTGGACAGTAGATGATAGATTCTCCTTGGTGAAATACGATCACAGGGTAATCTGCATTACACCCATGCTCATGGAATTCTAACCAAAGTTACAGAGTCCAAGATCATATTGGAGAAACTAAAAGGACGGACTTGGTTGATCAAACCGATAAAGAGAAACAGGTTGCATAAAACTTAACACACTCACGATAACACACAAACATAAAATATCTTTGTTTTTGTGTGTCGAAAGGTTTTGTGGAGGTTTACGAGAAACAGCATGAGCGTTTTAGACAGTTTGGGCCCTGGTCGTCGACAGTGACGATGTTCGAGACAGCCAGACTCACAATATAAAGTACAGTTATTCTGTTTGGTGTGGATATTTAGAGGTCAAGTACGATTATCGAAACTTTTTGAATAAGTAAAAATTATATATCAAAAATGAATAAATATATATACATTGTTCAGGAAACAAGAATCGTTTCTGTATGTTTTCAATGACCAAGACTGTGTGACAATTGGAATCACTGTTCAGACTTTAACACATAGTGACCTTGTTCCAGGACGTCAGCAGTACACCTTCTGTGGTTTAAGATTAATCTAGAGGTGGACTAATCTGGTAGTCTGGCTGATAGTGTGTCAGCGTGTTCTAGCAGTATATACACACATGTATATATGTGTCGGTTAGCATAGAACCTCAGAAAATGCATATAACTCAAAATTATATATACACATCAATAGTCAAATTTACATACCTTTTATATATATATATATATATTTTTCCGAGGAAAATTACTCCATCGTGTTTTTGTCTTTTGTCTGAGAATCGCAAACGGTGGTTATATTGCATGTTGTAAAGATTATGGGCAAAGTGTTTTATTGGTGGATTTGTTGATCATAGATCAGAGACCAGGAAGAACCACCAGAATTATGATTCACACAATGTGTCCATAGCGAATTTCAGTCTTACAGAAATGACTGGTCTGTAATCTCTCCTGTACTTTAACTTCAAACTGGGTCAGATACTTTAATGAATCCTGCATGAAACAGTCCCATAGGCGGACCCAAAGAGGGAGGGGGAGAATGGGCGAAATTAAACTGTGCACACGCACACGCACACACCTCTCAAAAAGCTGTATCCGCCCCTGAGTCCCAAGTATCCAATCTATCGTATACCATCTGGACCCTGACTTCAGATTTATGCCTATTTAATACCCATGCACCTGAAATCCAACTTATACACTGAACTTTAACTGTGCCTACGGCTGACATCATCGTTCACACTGCATCCCGCTCATATATACAATAAAAACAATGAACTTATTTCATTCATTTTATTACAAATGTATGGAATACAACAATGAATATTAATGTATTTCCAAAGCCAACAACTTAAAGGCACAGCGAGAGTGGAAATGTTCGTACGACATACGCTTACATGTACAGAACTTTCCTGTAAGAAAATAGCATTGAATGGCAGATATATACATAGCAAACTAAATCCTACTCCCGATATGACATATAATCCCCAAAAAGGGATACTTGCTTCTAACCCAGAGGGTTATCAATATGAGTTCCGTACCCCGTAATATATGAGTTCAGGGTGCCATGCCACAAATTAGTATTTTTTTCAATTTCAAAACATTCACATTAAATTTGATCACGTATTGCACTCAAATGTTCATGAATTGTATTCAACAAATGAGGAATATCGTTTGAAAGAAAATATTTTTCAACTCCAAAATGAAAATATTTTAACTTTTAAATTTTGCGTTCCCAAACATTATATTTATCACGTATAGTGATCACAATATGTACTCATCATAATAAATACATAATTGTTTTTCAATTTCAGTCAAATAATGTCATACTGCATAACGTGGGCAGGATAGCACCTTGTCCATTGCATAGAGTGTATCAGATGTCAGTCACTCAGGGCTCTTGTCGATTTCAGCCCAGTTTCATATACCACAGAATCTCCAGAGGAAATAAGGAGCCATAACATGGCGCGCTTTCAAAGTTATTGTCATCAATACATGTATCACAGATATATAGACTTCGATGCATCGACCTGTCAACGGCGATCGTCGTGTCACGGTGGATCTGTTGGTGATGTCCATCATCAGAAACAATATACAGTCTTCATCAAAGTAAAACAAATGTACAGATGTACAACGTACAGTGTACGGAGTTTGGCACTGTAGAATCTTGTCATGCGGAGGACCCTTTTTTGTCTTCGAGTCACTTTATCTGAACCGCACTAGCACTGTCATCGGACCCGCCGACGTGATTGTCATGAATATCCTGAAATAACAACAATGATAATAGTCATTATGAAATTAAATAATATATATAATAAAAACATGTTTCAAAGATTTTCATAGATTGTATGTATTCACACTTAATTAATGTTTTCTTAACGAATGAAAGTGTATATTTATTAATAATAATAACATTTAAAATATATTTCAAAGATCGTTAAAGCTTGCAAGTGTTCACATTTAATTAATGTTTTCATAACGAATGGGAGTGTATCTTTACCTTTGATATACCTCGACCTCCTAGTTTATTTCCAGTCATGGGCTTTGGGTCCGAATCGGAAGCAGAGCTTCTTTGGGAATTTTCCGTTCTTGGGAACATCTCCAAAGTAACCTGCTGTGCGGCAGAATCTGTGGAACAGAATCAAATAATTATGAAACGAATCCAACACCATATCAGTAGAGACATGGCACGCTACTCAGTAAACTGTTACATTTGCAAACAATATTTAGAGTGACCTCCCTTGGGACCGAGCTGTTTCTCGGAGAAAAAGCGCCATTTTTAACTAACTGTAAACACCCGCGAGGCAAGGTTGGACTTTTAAGGTTCAACGTATCTATCTTCCCGAGAGCACATATCGATCATGAGAGAGGCAAGGCGTTATGCCACGTGATTAATCATCAGATTAGCTTAACGAGATCAACACCTTCAGTTTGACAGGTATAATTGATTTAGATGAGGAATTCAGTTATGGTTCTGATTTCGGAAGAAGTAGCCTGAGGGAAGAGAAGGGCGAGCCTCACACTTAACCCAGTATTACAAGTTGTTAGGAAACACGTATCGCGTGATTTGTCGAGATTTAGGGATGACATCAGTGATAACATCTTGAATTGATGCTATCACGTTTAGATATCGGTGATAGTCGAACTCCAATTAAAATGTCAAGGGTAAGCATGGCATTTATGCAGTGACAAAACCTCTTGTATAATTCGGATAGTTAAGTTCAGTTCTATTTTGATTTCATAAACTATTCGAGCAATATCTCACCTCATGGCTCGGCTGAGTTTTTCATATGTCATTCCAGGGTTATTCTTCTTGCGACCCCACATGCTTGCAACTGCTTCGGATTGGACGAACTTGAAAACACCTGCTTCCTTGTCTTCCCATTTCAACAACGATGGGTTCAAGTTGGGGTCTTTCAATAAGTCTCGGATGAACTCCCACAAGTGGTTGCCTTTCGATGCTACAACACAACAAAAACAAATCAATATTAGTTTCATCTATCATCAATATACACCTTTAAACAAATAACGTGATTGGAAATTACATACTTCATTTTTATTGACATGATTCCTAGATATTCCTAAAGAGTAATTTCATAAAATTTTTGAAAGTATTTTATACTTACTTGAAGCTACTCTCTTCCTTGGTTGGACCATCTTCTCATCTGTATCTTCATCTGATGAAACACTGGGATACATCCTTCTCCGTGATGTCTGGGTGAAATTACTGCAAGTTTGCATTTCTTCTTCATCGGAGATACTGAATGAATCGTATGGTTCGCTACTTGTTGAGCCGCATCTAGCCATATTGCCGTCCATGTCGGAGTCTAAAAGCATAAACATGTAACTGTGAAAATCTTGATTTAATATTTATCTAATTATTTTCATTTATCATTCATTTCATTGTTTTGTATAATTATTTTTCATAATGGATAAAGAAGCAAAAGGGCAGCCATTTATGAAAATGATTTAAAAATTAAAGTATTCTTATAAATTTAAAACAACTTTATTTACCTCCGCTGACGTATCCAAAGTCGCAATCTATTTTGGGGATATCTATTTTGGTTGCGACGTCGATGTCGTAAACGTTGCCGTCGATGTCCACTGAGACACCAGCGTCGTTGATGAAGACTGACAGGTCGTGTTCAGCTGAAATAGTCAAATGAACAAATTGAAAATTTTGTCCAAGGCCAAAAAAAATATACTTTTCAATAAAATATTTTTCAAAGTTTAAAAACTAAATCAGAATACACGTGAATATTCAAAGGAGTGAAACAGGAAATGATGTAACTGGATTCGTAATAAGTGTGATTTCAAATGCTCAACTCCTTAATTGCATCTGCAGCCTGTACCTTTGCAAAGTTGCTTTAAACTATGCAGTCAGCAAGTGACGATGCCCATATAACGTTCGAACCTCCACGATCAGTACCCAATGAGGCGGTACCTTATCACCGCTTTGGGCTACATGACTAATTAAATGAACGTCATAAATCTCTGATTGATTGGTACATACTTGTTGTGCCAGAGGGTTCACTCGCAGCCCCGAATGGTACAGGAAGGCAGGGATAGGTTGTGTGCAGGAATGGGTATGCATCGGGATTAAGTGTATCTGGAGGAGTGGGCTCGCAGAAGATTGCTGAAATAGACATTGAATATTGAATAAACAATTATAAGCACAGAAAATAATAAATATTAGCAACTAAAGCCTACAAATGGATATTTATATGATTATGTTATGTTAAATATTTGACATTCCTTATTAAGATTGGAAAAAAATAGAAAAGCCTGGTCAATGCATATTTAAGTTGTTTCTAATTTTTAACTTACATTTCCGGACCAGAGATGAGAATAGGTTGTAAAGTGTCGCTCCATAGTGGTTATCCAGTGATGTGAAGTCTTCCTTGGACATTCGGCAGAGTTTTTGTCCTGTGAGACTCTGGTAGCGTTCGCCATAGAGTTTTGAACAGTCAAATTTCTTTGCGTCTGCCACATAGTACACCCAATCAAGAACTTCACGTCTTGACCAGTGCTCCGGATGTTTTGATGTCCAGCTGAGTAGGTTGTCAAATGTCTCCGTGAATTCTGAAAAAAAGGAAAGGACACCAAATTGAATTTCAAGAATTAATCAATGTGTTTCATTTAGTTTGAAAAATGAATCGGGGATATTTTTCGATTATATTTGTGTACGTTTGCTTCATTTGCAGCAATGCTTACCCTTCTTTTCCTGTTTCAAAAGGGCGATCTTAGGCGCGTAAGAGTACTGGGACGATGAGAGGTCGGTATAGACAGGTTGGTCTGTCTCAGGACAGGAGTCCCCTAAAGGTTCAGGTTTGACGATGCTTGGGTCATACATGTTGAACATGCTTGCGTTGTCAGCATCAAACATTTGTTCAGAAAACTGAAAATACAACAACAAACTGATACTTCATGATCGAAAGGAATATATATTCTCCATGCAATGTTCCAAGAACGGAATCAGAATTACAAATGTAGTTCGCTGTGCAACAAGTATATTGCAACAAGTCCGTCGCTCAATCGATACGATAATAGACTGTATAGCGTTAAGAAACAGATGTTGAAGTCGATGCTTGGAAATCATTTCAAATCACACATGTTCTAATACTTACAGATTCGGGGTACATTTTCGGGGATGTTGTGCTGTCCTGAATCTAAGGTCGTTGTTATGGAAACCTCGACAGCTGTAATAAAGAAAACAAAAATGATTCTAAGAAAATAAAAACTATCTAAGTTTCATGAACAAAACATGTACTTCTTTCAATTCAAATCATTAAGCTGTAGTGTAGTATTTGCATTTGGAAGGAATCCTTGTATGCAACACAACGTCCACATATCTAATATATATACATGTATATGTAAATCGTATCAACTATCATCACAAGGTGAAAACATTGTCATCACATAAACAAAACTACATTTGAATGTGGTGATTCAAATGTGTTTTCAAAATCATTAAATCGATTGTCTGTTAGGTAGGACATCGATGGATAATGGATCAGGTTGTCAATAGTTATTCCGGTAGCCTTATTAGAAATCAAAATATGTATAAACATGGAATCAAATGTCACAAATAAAAATGTGTATATCCCCTTACCTTAAACTATAAGCCAATGTACTCCTTCGTGTATCTTAGGAGTTTTGAACAGGCTATCCCTATTGAAACTGAATCACGTAGTGTTCTGCTTTGACCATGTGAAATGCTCGCAGATATACCAAGCACTACCCATGTGACATCATTTTCTCAGCCAATCAACGCCAACTCGTGCAGGGCCAAAGAGGGGAATCACCTAAAAGCTAATCCGCGCTTCTGATTGGCTGCCCAGGGCTGACGTAGTATTGATTTTGCTTTGTGGGTCAAGTCGCGTGTTGCTGTGAATTAAAGTAGGGATATTTTTAGCTTGGCGACAAAACAGACGAAGTGCTGTAATCACGGCGATAGCTGGAGAGCTGTTGCAGTGTGTCGCATCAAGAATATTGTGACATAGAAGTGTGGCCGCCATTTTGCTGCGAGCCGACATCATTTAGCGCAAGCGAGACAGGTAGATTTGGTCTTGCCTGAATGATCACGCCTCGTGTCCCGGGGCAGGTTTTGTGCGATGTGCCGTGGGAAAGCGGCGCTGTTTAATGTAATTGCTGATTGCATTAAGAAACGGTATAAACGTCAACATGAGTTGTTAGTTTGAGTTATGGAAAAAACAATAAATTATGAACTAACCCATTTGTCGCGGATTAAACACTTTGGGATAATACCTTTGTAATTAAGGCGGCAATCCTGTTCACGTGTACTATTTCAAGAAGAAATATGAGAATTTGATTTGAGTTCGGGAGCAATATAAGTATTATCCTATCAAGTGTAGTATATAGGTTCAATGACGGTTTATGATCAGCAATGTGTCATAAGAGAAGAACTGAATAAATAAAGTTCGTAAACTGATAACTAGTTTTTCCATATTATCCCCTTTGAACAACACTATACATAAACATAACATCATATAATACTTATTATTTTACTTGTTATAGCTGCATATCAATGAACTGCTGCACACACTATCAACATAGCGTGGCTAGTATTTCCATTCTCTTGATCCTGATTATCGTCATATCGCCGAACAGCAATGCAAGTGATGCAATATGAATATGTATGATATATGAATATGAAAACTTGAAGAACATATTTTTTGCATAATTAGTTAATTGTAAGAAACAAAGGTACGAGCTTTGATCAATATCACATTTTATGAAGCATACATGTATGACATATATCTTTTGCATAATCAGTTAATTGTAAGACGCAAATGTACGACCTCTGATCAACATCAGACACATCACATTGTATGAAACATACAGGTATGACATATTTTTGTATAATCAGTTAATTGTAAGACACAAATGTACGACCCCTGATCAACATCAGGCGCATCACATTTTATGAAACATACAGGTATGACATATGTTTTGCATAATCAGTTAATTGTAAGACACAAATGTACGAGCTTTCATCAACATCAGGCGCATCACATTTTATGAAACATACAGGTATGACATATTTTTGGCATAATTAGTTAGTTGTAAGACACAAATGTACGAGCTTTCATCAACATCAGGCGCATCACATTTTATGAAACATACATGTATTACATATTTTTTGCATAATCAGTTGGTAAGACACAAATGTACGAGCTTTCATCAACATCAGGAGCATCACATTTTATGAAACATACATGTATGACATATTTTTTGCATAATCAGTTAATTGTAAGACACAAGTGTACGAGCTTTCATCAACATCAGGCGCATCACATGTTATGAAACATACAGGTATGACATATTTTTGGCATAATTAGTTAGTTGTAAGACACAAGTGTACGAGCTTACATCAACATCAGGCGCATCACATTTTATGAAACATACATGTATTACATATTTTTTGCATAATCAGTTGGTAAGACACAAATGTACGAGCTTTCATCAACATCAGGCGCATCACATTTTATGAAACATACATGTATGACATAATTTTTGCATATTCAGTTAATTGTAAGACACAAGTGTACGAGCTTTCATCAACATCAGGCGCATCGCATTTTTATGCACGCATTCGAAAATCCCCAGGAAGGCTGTTGTCAAAATGGTCATATCCTGACACAGTTATCATATTCATGTTCTCGAACGACAGAAAATCCCCTTCCAGATAAAAATAAGATGGTTTGTTTATTTGTTGGATATATTTTTATGAATGCTTTTCCTCAGAAATAGCTACCACTAATAGAAATAGCTATCGTTATCACTGGATGTGATTTTTCTAAGGGCGATATATTCGCGGTTGTGTTTATCTAGTCACTTATGGTCCTATTATATTACCCTAGACATGTGTGTGGTTATACTAGGGGTTACAGTGTATTTTCGTGCCCACAGACATCTTGATATTGTTGCAATAATGCTGAAGGTGGTGCGTGATCATATATTTCTTCTTGGCTGGTGAAATATTTCAAACAAAGAGTTAATAATTTATACGCGTTGGATATACCCGTAAAGAAGTGACGGTCGTATCAACGAGGTAAAAGTAAAGAGTAGACACTGGGTTATTGCTCCTTTAGTATTTTGTCAGCAAACACTGCCATTACAAGCTGTTGCATATTACCAAGCATATCCAACTAATTTTAAAACGCATTCAGTTGGATTGATTTCAAAGCAATAGAAACACGTTGTATATTACTGCGTTGAAATAGAGAAATACAGCGTGTGGTATATTGTATGCAGCCCAAGGAATGTGTGATGTGAATGTCCAAGGTCAAGGCTGCACTGCGAACAGGAATGTACACTTATATGTTTAAGAAGGATTTGAGAGAAATATTTGCATAAAAGGATACAGTTTGTTTAAAAATAAATTAAAATCCTGGTTTGAAATCCTATACGGATGCGATAAATCAGTCTATAATTTACTGTGTTATGTATCACCGACACTTGATTTAATGAAATGTAAACAAGTTGAAAGAAAGAACGGATAGGGACGAATTCTACAACCAGCGTACGTGTACGCGTTTGGAGTATGCAGATGTGTGTATTTGTGAACAGCGTAAGCCCTTTGTTAATGATACTGGCTTAAACTTTTATTAATTAAACAAAAACTCGTCCAGGTTCTGCAAGCTTAGGAATTCGATTTTAAGTCCTGCCTGTTGTACACAGGTTTTATTGGTCCAGAGGACTGGTGTAGACCATGTTTCATTTCGAGTTTGAAGCTACTGAATACACAATGCCATGAATACACAATGTCCTGAATACACAATGTCCTGATTACACAATGTCCTGAATACACAATGTCCTGAATGCACAAATGTCCTGAATACACAAATGTCCTGAATACACAATGCCATGAATACATAATGTCCTGAATACACAAATGTCATGAATACACAATGCCATGAATACACAATGTCATGAATACACAAATGTCATGAATACACTGCTCTTTGATCTGGACAAAACGCTTACTGTGTTTGCAAATTCTGTTAGTTTTTTTTTGTTCAGTTCCAGTTTGTAGCAAAGTTGAAACCACGAGGACTTATTCAGAGTTCCTGCCCTAAAATGCTACCAGTCAATTTGAACTAACATTAATTAACTCTAATTGATAGTCTCGGACACTCGTAGAATCTGGTTTTGTGGGTGTATATGTCGCCACAACTGATCATCTCCACTAAGTTCTACTACATGTGCAAGTGAAAACATTGTAGATTGTGGGCACTTATGAATTTGCAATATGCATGCTGTGATCATGTTATTATTGAAGCTTATTTCATTTTCAAGAACATACGTACATATATCACGTGCAGAAATCGTTTCCGTATCCAGATTGAGTTAAATGTGTATTTACCGTGTAAATTTAAAAGTAGAATGTACATCAATGCCGAATATATATATGCATTTGTAGAGGTGTGTGCGTGTGTGTGTTTGTTTGTTCAGGTACGTCAAATGCTTTAGCTATATGTACCTAATGACTGCTTGTCTAACCAACCACCGTGCAATACAATGTTTAATTGAAACCTGTTTTCCCCAATGCCACCTAGCAAAGGTTAATGTTAGTTAATGTAGTTCCCCAATCTCTTTCTACTATCCACGTTGACGGAATGACGATTTTTATATCATGCAACTTACGTACTTACGTATTACATCAACACAGGGTTGATACATTGAATGCTCGCGTGTGTTGTTGACAGGTGGAACAGGATATGAAGGATAAGTGCTTATTTTCACGAACAGTTGGATATCAGCATTGGTATTAACAGTAATGATAATACTCGGACTCGTGAAACCTGTTCTGCTTTAAATGGAGAACGGGTGTGAAACTGTGGAATTCATACATGAAACCCTTCTCTCTCTCTCCCCCCTCTCTCTCTCTCTCTCTCTCTGACTCCCTCCCTCCAACGTACTCACTCACTCACTGGACGTCAGGCTACGTGTAATTATTGCCCAAGGCGAATTACATAATGCTTCATGATCTCATTAATCTCTTGATTGGCTTTAGGTATTCGTGAAAGTGTTTCAGTAAATATGTCGTCCTGGCAGGATAATACATGGTACTACATAACTGTTTCTTCATTTACCAATAAGTTCGACATAATATGATATGATATGACCCAAATTCTACACAGTCACCATGTTTTCATCTGTGAGTATATTCACATGAAACCAATCAAAACAATAAACAACACTGTGACATCGAAATATACTTCACATCAAAAGTTTAGACTCACTAGTGTAAATATAGCCACTTACTTCAGGCAACTGTTCTAAACTAAATTATGCAAAATAGTCCATACTGTTTAAAGGTATTGTTTACACATGAACTGATGTATTGTAAAGCAAAGAAATGATAAAACTCAGTGAAAATCGGCGAATTTTTAACTAAACTTTACACCAAAACGCACACATGCATGGTATTTGCATATGTTTTCCAGTAATTTGATGCATGATCCTCGTGCAATTCATCTGCATAAGGTTTGCAGTTGGTTTCCCCAAAGTAGTGGAGAAATCAATCTTTGATGTAACCATTATAACATATAGTGAATGTTTTCAGTGAGTCTAAACTTTTGATTGGAAGTATATTATTAAAATAAGTGTGAAACCAATCAAAATTTAAAACACTATGACTTTGAAATATATTAAGACTGAAGTGACATTATTTCGCAGAAGCCGTTTTCGAACACACGGTGGCATTATGCATGT